GTTTGGTACATGGAGGTTAAAGAACAGGAGAACGATCGCTATGTACTAAAGCATAGCCCGCCTGTCCTTGAAAATTGTAGAATTTATAGGGCGCTGACGTCGGTGAGTAGTAACTACGAAGTTAGCTGTTTATGAGTACAAGTAGATGAAGTTATTTGAATAATGTACAAATTTTCTCCGCGGCATTGGTTAGAAAATTTTCATGCTCCGTAATTTTGTAATTTTTGACAAAAAGAAACATTAAAAAATGGAGAAATATTTTATTGTGCGTGGATGTGCAAGTGGTTTAGCATCTAATCGGAAAAATAGACTGAAAATGACTTTTATTGACCGAACTTAGCGATCGCAGCGCCTCACTAATGGTGTCCATATTTCGTTTTCTACGGCGATCCTTCTCTTGTTCTCTAACCTTTATGGTTTGGTAACTAATCCACCTTCGTAACAGGCAATGATCAATGACCATACAGTCTGTTCAGTCGTGTTAGATAATATTCAAATGTTTTTTTTATAGTTTTACACATAGCCTATTCAATCGTTTTTTCTAAATAAGTTTCTTTACTTCAACATCAATCTCTATAGATTCGCCTCAACGTTTCAATATTATGATTTTTTTTGATAATGCAGGCTATTTGATTACAAAATTAGCCTTCATTATCTATGCCATTGATAAAATACAAAAAAACTTGAGAGGTGTCAAGGGACACCCGGATGGAGGAGAGATTATAACGCGTATGACTTGGTTAGCACAATAGTAAAGGGAGGTTATGATGTGTATTTGCTAAAAATACATAAGCATTTATTATTGTCTGGATAAAATCTCTACTTACCTAACTCCATCAGCAATATCCGGAACTTGTGCAGAAACACTGTCAGGATTCATTATTGTTATTATTTTTTATTATTTATTATGTACAAAAAACCTGTATACACTCAACAAAAATAATCGTCGCGACACCACACTGTTCAATGCGAAATAGAAAGACGAAACGAAAACAACTGGCTTGCTTTCTACGAGAGAGAGAGAGAGAGAGAGAAACACGCGCACGCCACACGGATTACAACCATTGATTTATATATTACACTAGATCAGTAATAACCGCGCTAAAGCGTTGCCGTGTAAAAAATGGGTAAATGCGTAGTGAAATAATGCTATTCAAGGTCACAAAACGTAATAAGTCAAGCGGAATCACTCTCAACACATAATTTTTAGTTCTTGTTTTCATATAAACGTAAAAAAAACCTCAAATAATTAAATAAAATTATCGAATATTTCCATTTAGGTTCAAAGTTGCCACTTTTCCGCATTTGTGATTATCCTACATTAATAGGAGACTTTATAATTAATGGAGTAAGTTAATTTGTTAACTCTGATTTGTTGATATTTTGGAAATAATAATAAAAACTACGTTTTAACTTTCATACAAAATAATTAATTATTCTCATTTTAGTTTATTCATAAATTATCTATTAAATATATTTTATTACCTCTTTATATTAATAATTTTATATTAATTATAATTTCATATAAATTTTATATTACTTATATTTTATTACCTACCTATTTTATATTGTTTGATTTATTAGTGCAATAAAAATACTAATAAAAATATGTTTTATTTCATCAATATGTTTACTACTATTCGTCTGATAAACTTTGTATCCTTTTTTTCTAAGGGGACGCAATAAAGATTTTAAATTAAAATATACTTTTTTTAATATAAAAACATTTAACTGCAGCTTAAAAAAAAACTCATCTTTATTGCGTATTTTAGGTAAAATTTCATATAGTATGCCACACCAACCCGCCATTCCATGTTTGTGTGTCTATTTTTATCTAATCTTAGCGACGATATTGTTTTCGCAACTTGTGTAAGTGAGATAGATATATGTTTATTATTATTAATTGTTATTAGTTTCAAAGCTACGTCGTCGCGTTTTGATACTAGTTACACTTTTTCCGACGCGCGGTAATGTGGTTTGCTCCTCTAGTGTTGTATAACTCAATGCTTACAACTATAGCAAAAAGTGTCGTTACAACTTTTGGTCTTAATTTCTCCCCCCCCTTTCGCAGCGTGCAATAAGGAACTTCGTTCCAATATTTAAAAACGTTTCATTTTTGCTATAGTAAATGCATTAGCTATCGTTTTAAAAAACGTTTTTATGATTGCCCCATGTATTACAGAAATAAAAACCATTTATTTATGCTTATAATTTATCATTTAATTACCTATATATTTTTGTATAACTGTTACGTACGATGTCAAACATCCAATTTCATATAGGTATTTCTTTTCACAGTATGCGAGTAACCTGGGGTCGATCTCCACCAGCACTAATATTTAATTGAAATTTTAAGTGCTGATTTTACCACATGCTCAGCGATGAACGAAAATATCGTGAGGAAAACTGCATATTTGAGTTCGCCAACATTGGGGCTGCTTCTTGGTGGACATTTTCTTGCGTTAAAACCCTCTCAGAAACGAGAGAGGGCCTGTGCTCAGCTGTGGGACGTCTATAGGCTGTAATTAAAATGCACAGACAGGCGACCGGCGCCATTCAGCGACTTCTGGTATTGCGGTCGTCATTACGCCATCCGCCTGCTGCTGTATGACTCAGGCCTATTATATCTACAACAGGAGAGACTATGTACAGCAATGGCCTTTTTTGTATGTTTGCAGAAGAAGATGTATTATATTTCTTTTTCTGAAAAACACACGCAACAATAGAGTATATTTTTCATATTTTTAGACAACTTTAAAAATTTTACTTTCATGTAAACTAAGAGAACGGGAACACACGAGCTATACAAGAATGAATGAGTTACATACACAAGTCAATCATTCTGAATATAACTTATTTATCCACTTCACGAAATTGGTAATTGTTTTATAATAGTAAGACAATAGCAACGACCTATATGTACTCGTAGTACACGGGATAGCGAAAGGGTTAATTTTGTTTCATACAAAAACGTGTCATTTCAGCTAACACGCATTGGGGCGGCGCAGCGGACAATTCCTTGTCCTAAAATCCTTTCTATTCTCGTCACTACAGAATTTATGAAGTTTGCTATCTGACTTAATTAAAAATGAATTATTTATAATGTATTATCTTAACTTCGGCATAGAACGTAAAATTTGTTATAAGTGTTCACACATTGTACTGATGTGTTTTTATTTCACAAAAGTGAATATATTTTATTCGTTAAAATAGAGTGACAACCCTAGACACAGAAGAACATCCTAGTGTTATCGGCACGAGCAACTCGCCAAGTTATTCGTGGAGGAGTACGACACGTTTACATACTCGTCTGTATTCATTCAACGTAGCTCTTAGCTCTTTTAAGACGACATGCGTCTCGTTACCACGACTTTGTCTTCTTGATATTTATAGACTTCGAAATACTTATTTGAGGGGTGTGGAGCGCCCATCTCACTATATGAAGCGACGACCTGGTCAGACATGCAGGAAGTCGATGGATGCTGGTGGCTCGGGACCGTGCTTTTTGGCATTACTTGGGGGAGGCCTATGTTCAGCAGTAGAATTTTTTTTTTATATTTTTTTATATTTATTCAGGACAACAAACAATTACATAATAATGCTTAAACCAAATAACATTTTATAAATAATATTAGTCATTATGTAACCAGCACCGTTATCCACAAAGTAATATTAAATTGGTAACAGTAAATAATAAATGCAGAATAAACTGAGTATAAGTGAAAATGGGAAAATAAAATAAAATTGACAGTACCCAGTAACATAAAAATTAAAATGAGACAAAAGGAAAAAAAATGCTAACAGTAACAATTTATCTTGTAAAATATTTTAAGATACTATTTAATATCTACCAACTTTCTTAGAATGTTCTTGCGAAATTGTAACTGTGATGAAGTGAATAAGATCAATATTTGAAAAATGCATGTTATATACTTTCATAATACGTCTTAATGGGGCGCGTTCACCTGCATTGGTTTTATATAGTTTAGGCGCAAACAATTTATGTGTATACACGTCTCTAATGCGTTGAGAACGACTAGGGACACGGATATATATTTTGTTAATTAGTTCACTACAATCTGAATCATTTCGAATTATTTTGAATAATAGTATTAGATCAAAGTATATTCTTCTTGCTTTTAAAGGATGAATTGAAAACTTTTATTAATAAGTTGCGATACGATGATTTAGCGTGGTAACATTTATAATTTATAAAACGAAGAAACTTTGCTTGTAATGATTCTAGAAGTTCACCGTATTTATTATAATAGGGGTTCCATACTTGCGTTGCATATTCAATTTGTGGTCTGATAAGTGATTTGAAAGTAGTAAATAAGATGAGGAGCTTTTAAAAAAATTACACGTTCGTACAACAATTCCGTACATTTGATACGCTTTATTTGTTACATGGCTGATATGAGCATTAAAGGTTAGATTTGAATCGTAAAGGATGCCTAAATCTTTTATTAACGATACTTTTTCTAAGGGACTGTTAAGAAGGGAATATATGTAATTGTAGAGGGGATCTAATGATAATGACCCAATATCATGGGTTCTCCTTGATAAAGTTCTATAAAAATAGTGGATTCGTTACTCCAATCCATCACAGAAGGTAGATTTTTTAAAATTATTTAATAAGATAAATTAAGTTTAAAAGTTCACGAGACAAGCGAATAATGACGAGTATGTAAACATCGATACAAATTTACATAAGCATTCCTTTTACTCGGGCCAAAAAACCGAGTGGAGAACTGGCGAATACTCGGGCCGAGTAGCGAAAACAACCGAACTATAAACTTGTACTTGTCTGTGCTCGACGAGTATGTAAACGTGACATAAACGTTGCATTACGTTAAAAGAAAACAAAAAAGAACTATAAATATAATGTATATTAATATTCTCACATTCTATTTAATAAAAAAGTTATATAGTAAAAAAATAAAGTAACAAATAAAAAAGCTAGTAAGTAACAATGTAAGCGTAACATTTGTGCACAACATTTATGCGTATTTTCTCAATGGTCTCCAAAATTGATCTTTTCCTATATTGTTATTTTTCGATCGCCGCATTCGGCCGATAAGTTTTCTTGTATGTTCCGTTACATACTCGCCCGATTCGGGGTCGATAGTCTGCCTGTGAAGTGATTATAATCATATTAGTTGCATTATTTTTTTATTTCTGCAGAATGTTGTTGCTCTTTTTCCTTTTATTTTATGCAGCATTGAATCCGCTTTTTTTTACAAAATGCATTGAAGTAATATATACTATGTACTAGAACAGACACCAACGCTTATTTGTTTGTAACACGTGCCCTTATTCAATTAGTCGGTGGTGCGTGATCTGTGCCAGTCACAGATTACCGTGACGTGACACATTTGGGAACAAATATATATAAGCCCGATAAAAATGCCTTCATAAGCACTGAGGTGATGCGTGAATCTCTCGAGAAAAAAAGTTAAGGTTAAGAAGTTACTTTTTACATTTAGGTTCCCCGTATTATTGATAAAACACGCGAAATTTAATTATATTTATCAATTGTCATTCGTGGCCGGTGGGGATCGAACCCGATTTGCTCGCGTATTGTGAAATTTACAGCGAGCGCTACCCATCTGAGCTACAGACGGCTCTTCCATCTAAGCTACCACGGCTCCATAATATATATAAATATATATATATATATATATATATATATATATATATATATACACATATATATATAAATTTAAATTACATTAAAAATATTTTATCCTACAATCAAGCATACTAAACACTAAACAAAAAGTATTTTAACAAGTATTTCTATTAAAAATCTTTAACATTCAATTGCCTTGTGATTGTAAGTAATTATTTCACGTAGGTAGGTAGAGAGTAACAGAGACCTGGTTAAAATATTGTATTACAGCAAAAAATAAAATTAATATTATCATTTGTTATACACGTTATTCTAATGTACATAAATACGAGTATATATTTCAAAAGCGAAGACATAAAGTAGCGCACACGTTTTTATTTGAAACAGCTGTTTAGTACGTAAGTACATTATATTTTAATGACAAAAAACGGTAATGAAGCGGAATCAATGCTGCCAGTAGTAGTGCCAATGCTATAAGTTAAATGTGGCGTTATTTTTTCGGAAAAAAATATTTCATATATTTAACAAGATATGAAAAGTGATGGGGTTAATCTCGAAACTTATTTTAATTTTTATAGAACTGATGAAAGAAAATAACTATGAAATGGAAAAATTGTTTCCAGTTATAATTTTTATCGAAACTGTATGGAATTTTATATATTTCTTTACGAAACGTTATAAAAAGATGAATGATTGGTTTTCTTTCTTTTTGAATATTCATTTTATTTGATTTGTAATAAACGAAGCATTTTATTGGAGGCTAAGTTGTGGGGTGAATATATATATATATATATATATATATATATATATATATATATATATATATATATATATATATTCACCCCGCCCTTGTTCAAAACGTCAGTGCTTGGTGAGTCGTGTTGCTAGACCATCTAACCCATATATACAGGTCCAGAAATTCAATGTCAAGCGGGTATGGGGTGATACGGTTGTGCCAGTTCTAGCAAAAAAAATTACATGTGGCTTGGTTAAGTGATAATTTAGTTAAGTGTGGATGCTCGTGTCCATGAGCTTCAATCACTTAATCCTAGTACAACCCTACACATGTCCCCTGGGTGATGCTAAACGAGCGACAAGCTGAAAGTACAGACTCAGCTCCTCGCCGTGTGGAAGTGGCGTAAAATATACCACCCCATAGTTTCGTACTATGAGGCAACAAAGAAAGAAATGGCCCCGAGGTCCCGTCGTCCATTTAATGGGGCAGGAGTGCGAAGAATCTCCAGGAGAAAAACCGGCGATGAGGTTCGCCAATTGTCACGTACTGCCTTCTGGAGGGGTGAAAAGTGGATTGCGGAGGCCCGTCTGGCTACGATAAATGTATGTGGAGCAATGAATGATAAGATGGATGAAGTATGCGATATGATGTATGATAGAGGAAAAGATCCGTTATGTGTAGGTGAGACGAAGAAGAAAGGAAATTATGTCACTACACGTGGCAAATATACCTCATGCTGGTCTGGTGTAGACGAAACCGGGCGGGCATGCCAGGGGGTCAGTATCATCCTTTCAGAAATAATGGGTCAATGTGTGAAAGAGTATGAATGTGTAAGCCCGGGACTGCTATGGATACGAATGAAAGTGGGCTTAAAGAATTTGTATGTTCTAGGGGTCTACGCTCCAGACATGTCTAAGCCCACTTATATCCAAGAGCAGTTTTGGAGTGTTAGTGAAATGTGAGGGAAATGGAAATATTTTTATGTTAAGAGATTTTAATGGAAGGGTTGGGTTGAAGAGGTTTGGTCATGAAAGGATATTGGGAACGTTTGGTGATGAAAGTATAAATGAGAATGGTGAAAGCCTCCTCACCGTATATGTGGAAAAGAACCTTTTTGTGACGAGCACTTTCTTTCGTCATAAGAAGATTCACATGTATACATGGAAAAGAGGTGAACATGATAGATTTCATAATTGTGGATGAAAGAATGAGGAACGTGGTGGTAGGGGGTGCAACGTAGGGACGGATCATTATTTGGTCTTATGCCGAATTAATGGTCTATTAAGACGTTGGCGGTGACATCTGTGTCTAACACTGCGTTACAGCGTATTAGAACGGAGAGATTACAAAATGAAGGTGTGAAAAATAACCTGAAAGAAAATATAAGTGGTTTGGATGAATTGTGTATGAATGAGTTAGACTTGGAGATTATATGGCATAATGTTAAGAAAGGTTTGATCGAATTGCAGCTACCGAAGTATGTGGTGTCAGTAAGAGAACGAATGAAAGGAAAATTAATACGTTTTGGTGGGATAATGTGGTACGTATGAAAGTTGAAGCAAAGAAGAGTGCATGGCTAGATTTGCTAGTAACCAAGGCTGGTAATTCTGGCGGTATGAATAATGATATTGAAAGAGAAATGGCAGTCTTTAGATGTTTAAATAAGAGAGTAAAAGAAGTAGCTGAAAGCAAAAAAAACAAGAAAGAAGGGATAAAGAATTATAGAAGAATATCGGATAACTTACTTCCAGGCAAATATTAAACTCGTTCTGGAAACTCGTAAGAACTGTGGACGGGGGGACGTAAGGGGACATTAAAAACAGCCTAGAATTAATGCTATACGAGACAAGAATGGCTGTATTCAGAAAGATGAAGTTTTGAGTTTAAAGAGATGTAAGCAATATTTTGAAAGCGTGTTTATGAGTGCAGAGACGTATGAATTAAATGAAATATAAATTCCGAAAGCAGAGGAGAGAGATAAGTATAGATGAAAAAATGAAAGCAATGAAAAGCCTGAAAGTAGGTAAGGCAACCGGATAGGATATAGTTTCACCCGCTTTAGATCTTGGTTAATTTATGTTGGGAATTTAAGCGGGTACCGGAAGGTGCAAAGTCATAATAGTCCCAATATATAAAGTTAAAGGGTCGCATCAAGACTGTAAAAACTTCCGTGGTATCAGCCTTCTTAGTATTGTGGGAAAACTGTGTGCTAAGATACTAATTGAAAGAGTTATGAAAGAAACTGATGAAAAAAATTGGGATATGCAAGCGGGTTTTAGAAAGTGAATGGGGTGTACAGATTAAGTCTTTTCCATGGACATGATCGCAAAAAAGTTTTTGTCCAAAAACCAGAAAGTTTTTTGTGCGTTCATAGACTTGGAAAAGCATTATGACAAAGTGGACAGGGATGTGTTTTGACAAACACTGAACTTATTTGGGTTGAGCGCTGTGTTGATACAGGCGCTGTGTGGATATACATTATATACATTAAGGTATCTTTATAGGAACTCTAGTGCTTGTGTTAGTATCAACGAGGTCTACTTGGACTGGCTTGGCATCAACAAAGGTGCCAGACAGGGCTGTGTGGCTTCCCCATGGCTGTTCAACCTATTTATGGAAAGTTGATTGGAAAATTTTTAAGTTCCATTCTTAACTCGCATTCTTCAATGCGAGTTAAGAATGGATGAGTTAATCGTCAAATTCTCAAGTTATATTTGCGCCGTCGACGGCCGAGTTGCAAATGATGGTTACATTAATCGAAAGTCATTAAAAGAAAGGGGAATGAAAGTGAACGCAAGTAAGACGATAGTTATGGTTTATGAAAGAAAGGAAAGTGAAACGATATGTGAAATAAGAATAGAAGGGAAGTTGGTCGAGTAAGTAGATGAGTTTGTATATTTGGGGATGAGAGATATGATAAGAATGTAGAACGACGAGTGAACGCAGGAAATAAAGTGAATGGGGCTCTATACTCTGTTGTGGAAAGTCAGAATGTGTCAAAAAGACACGTATGGCAATTCACAATACTGTGTTAGTCCTTACTTTAACGTATGGTAGCGAAAGTTGGGTGTGGCATAAGAAGCACGAGAGTAGAATAAACGTAGCAGAAATGTGGTCGCTAAGGAGTATGTTAGGGCTGAATATGAGTGATAGGGTGAGACATTGTATAATAAGAGAAGAATGTGGTTCGCAAGATGATGTTGTGACTAGGATTAAGAAAGGAATGCTTCGGTGGTTTGGTCATGCGGAAAGTATGAATGAGAAAAGAGTGACAAAGCAAATTTATGTTACAGAAGTGAACTGTAAAGTTGGAATGGGACGTTCTAAGGGAAATATTGAAAATGAGCCAAATCAAGAGTAACCTTAACCTACGGACATGTATACGTACTAGCATAGGCATATGGATGTGAAGGAGGTGAGAGAGGTGTGTCAGGATCGTGCCAAATGGAAGTCTGTAGTCTCTGCCTGCCCCTCTGGGTGACAGGCGTGATTACTTTTATTACCGAACACCAATTAAAACTTAAAACACTAATAATTAATCACACTGATTCACTTTATTTCGCTCCGAAGCTTCGCTTGTCTGGCCAAATTCAATACTGGCCCGATAGCGGGTTGCAGCGGCTTTAAATACACCTTTTACACCGAAACATCCATAATATTCCAGTAGATGCTTTTTTGTCGTGGGTAGGTGTGTAACAAGTAACAGCTGACTTATTAGCTCCTATATTTAATATATTTTAAAATTATTTTAAACCAGTGTTTGGA